GGGCAGGAGTTCTTTGCTTCTCGCCAGTGTGTTGCAATCGCTTGTACTTTGCCTGGGTCAATAGGCAGAGTCACATGACTGCGTGACAGCGGACCTCTGAGATGGCCGCGTTCCACGTTTCCAAGAAACCCTGAATCCCGCGGATGTCATTTGTTTCGAGCGGCCTGGAGGAGCGGAAGGCATCCGGGGTTAGGTGTGTGAAGACAGATCCAAGGATGCCACTGCTTGGGACAGGCTGGTCAGGGTCACCTGTCAGTGCCTCACCTGTCAAGAGGGGTAGATAATGACAGCTGTTCTCCACAGGAGGTTTTGTGACGACGAACTAGGTTCACGTGTGGGTGAGACCCTCGTCAATTTTCCCACTGACTCTGAAGGCAGGGACGTATCTTACTCATTTCTGTGTCCTCAGGACCCAGCACAGTGCCCGGCTGACTCAAATGTTTGTTGACTGAGTGCAAGAATGGGTGATGCGGTAAGTATAGGGCCTGGGAAAGCCTGAAAACTTCAAAGCTACTAACAACTTGTTCAACCAGGAAGGAGCAGATTTGCACGCGTGCTCCCATGTCTACCCGCGTTTCGGTAAAAGCAGAATGGGCAGGTGTTTATGAGGAAACCTTTTATCCTGTACTTTTCTTTTTTTTTTCTTTTCTTTTTTTTTTTTTAATTTTTTTCTTTCAAACATTTATTTATTTTTGGGACAGAGAGAGACAGAGCATGAACGGGCGAGGGGCAGAGAGAGAGGGAGACACAGAATCGGAAACAGGCTCCAGGCTCCGAGCCATCAGCCCAGAGCCCGACGCGGGGCTCGAACTCACGGACCGCGAGATCGTGACCCGGCTGAAGTCGGACGCTTGACCGACTGCGCCACCCAGGCGCCCTGTACTTTTCTTTCTTAAATGTTTATTTATTTTGAGAAAGAGAGAGAGTGAGAGTGGGGGAGGGGCGGAGAGAGAGAATCCCAAGCAGGCCCTGCGCTAACAGCGTGGAGCCTGATGCAGGGCTTGATCTCATGAATCATGAGATTGTGATCTGAGCCGAAATCAAGAGTCAGGGCTTAACTGACTGAGCCACCCAGGTGCCCCTGTGAGGAAACATTTTAAAATGAAAATTAACTTACGGTAGTATCTTCCAGGCTTTGCCTTCTCATCAATTCTTGGCAGTGTTTTTTTGCTGCCAGATACTTTTCTGTGGGAGTCGTGAAGAATGATAGATCATTACTTTATACGACCCATCCGTTATTGATACGTTTTAGATAAAAGGGCCCTTTCCACCAAGGGAATTTCTTTGGTTCCTATTTTTCTGTTTCCTATGCTCCAGAAGAGGACTGACTTGGAAGTCATGTTATTCTCATTTTAATCCCACCAGCCCCCCAACCCTCCAACTGAGTCCTTATCATCCACCTTTCGAAGATAAGGAAACAGAGAAACTAAATGGCGGTCTCAAGGTCACCCAGCCACTGATAGATTTGGGACTGAAGTTCTGGTTTTTACTCCTGGTGATTTGGAAACTCAGGATTGGTGGATTCTATTCAGACTCTGCTCCCAGAGACTGGCCCTTAGCAGAGTGGCATCAGGAACTGGTCTGAAAAAGACCTTTCTCAAGCCCAATTCTGCTCAGCCTCAGGGATGCTAAAAGCCCTGGAAACATCCATGATGCAAGTTCGTGAATGAGTCCCAGCTACAGATGACCCCCGAGCTCAAGGCCGTCATTAGGCTTCCTCCTAATGGTTATCACCTGTCAGTGTGGAGGATGTCCCCTAAGTGGGTTGTCAACCCCTGGAGCTGGGAGGGACTGTGACCACCACAGCACAGCGCCTCGTGCTCATTTGGCATTACACAAATGCTTGTTACTGAGGGTGGTGGTGACTGATGGGGCTTTTGTTTATGGTTTGAAGGAATCAGCAACAACAACAACAACAACAGAAAACAAACAATTGCTCTATTCAAGGCACTATGCCGAGAAATGGAGATCCAACCATTAAAAGACAAGCTTTCAGACTCTAAGGAATTTGTAGGCTCGTCGGGCGAGGGGCACGCCAGGTGGGCCTGGAGAGTCCGGGATGACTTCACAGGGGAGGCGGCTTGGAGCTGGGATTGAGGAGGATGGGAGTTTCCCAGGCAGGTGAAGGTGGGGATGGGGCTGCCGACCAGAGGAACATCCATGAAGGGGTGAGGCGTGAGCAGAGCACTGCTGTGTCGGAGCACCTGCTCTTGGCTCCTGGGGTGCCAAGCGGTTTCCCGCTGAACACCACTCATCCACGTTGTATGCGCGGTTCGGACGTGCCCACGTCTCTTCCTTCTGTTCTTCATTCATTTTATCAGCGCCTCTTGTGGGAGGCACCATACAGGACGGGTACAGAGGTGAGAGGGTAGACCCGGGGCCTGCCCTCCTAAAGCTCTAAGTCGAGTGACAAGTAAACAGGCTCTATTAACAGCACAGGGCAGTGAGTGTGGGTCAAGAGAGATCTCATCTAGTGGGGGTGTATTAGCTTCCTGTTGCTGCTGTAACAATCTTAGTGGCTGAAAAGAATACATCTTTATTATCTTATGGTTCTGGAGGTCAGAAGTTCCAAATCGGTCTCATTGGGCCAAAATTAAGGTGTGGGCAGGATGGAATCCTTCTGGAGCCTCTAGGGGAGAGTCTGTTTTTTGTCTCTTCCAGCTTCTAGGAGTTGATTCCATCCCTTGGCTTGTGACCTCTGCTTCTGTCTTTACATGTCTTTCTCTGACTGTCCTGCCTCCCTCTTAGAAGGAAATTTGTGATTATATTGGGCCCACCCAGATAATCTAGGATAATTCCCTATCTCTAGATTTTTAACTTAATCACATTTGCAAAGTTCCTTTCCTGTTGTAAGGTAACACAGGCATAGGGCCCAGGGATTAGGATGTGGACATCTTTGGGGGCCGTTGCTCCACCGTCCACAGAGGCCGCAGGAGGAAAGGGGAGGAAGTGCTTCCGGAAGTGGTATTTGACCCCAGATTTGTCAAAGATGGGTGAGATTGGAAGCAGGGAGGTCACTTAGGCAGCTGCTGGATTGGTTCAAGCAAGATGAGTTAAGATTGGTAGTCCTAGGAATGGTGAGAGGCGCAAGGGACTGAGATACAGTGGGGAGGTTGAATGAATGGGAAACATGGGGGCAAGGCTGAAAGCAAGCTGCCTAAGACAAGACGCACCTCATTATCAACAAGGGCTAGTAGGAACCCGGAAGTAGTGTTTTGGGGGAAGGATTAGCAAGAACATAATGCCCACAGTGCTGATCCTAATTCTTAAATCTTTCAATCAGAGATTCCAGGCAGTTTTGGGTTCAGTAAGTCAGAAGGAAATTTAACATTTTATTTGCAGCGGTTATATACGATTATCAACAATAATGATTTTATTTGCTAGAATAAGATACAATAAAAGGTTGATTGCTTGGTTTTCAAGAGAAAAGTTGATTTTGAGGCCCTAGGAGGAAAGGCAGATGTTTACAGACCTAGATTCCTGGAGGTGGCCACCCTTCTGGCCAGGCATTGTCAGGGTCATTGGTGCTGTGAACAGGCAGGGGACATCCCCGTGCTTTTATTTATCTTGAGTTCCCCAAGGCAGGGACTGAGCAGTGAGCTCTCTTGAGTGGGATTGTTGGCTCCACTTAGGTAATTAGGGTTGTCATCTCCTAATACCTTATTTACACAACAGCCAGGCTGCGCTATGGCAGAGGCTATAATAAGCATTAGTATAATGAGGGCAGAACAAAATCGAAGTGCACTGTCTGCTCACTGCTGCACAAGACAGATTTCTGAAATGCATGATAGCATTACATGTGCAACACTACCCTGTTCCTCCTGCCATTCCAGAAAAGCCTCCAGCTTAACATATTTATTTCCAAGGTAACGAAATTGCCCTAACAGAGACCAGGGACCTTTGAGAATTCGATGTGTTCTCAACACGAGGGGAGATTTCTTTTCCAATGGCTTCTTTTTGGAGGAAAATAGAAGAAAAATTCTATTACTAATAGATCAGGAGTGATTACATCTAAGTCACTGAATTTTCTATTGAGAAATGTGCTTTGAATCTATTTCTTCTTCTTTTTTTAGGAAACCAAATTTATTGGCATAAAAACATCACTCATTATTCCTTCCCTCATTCTACTCCATCTTTTTTTTTTTTTTCACTTTGGTAGTCTTCTGAAACCCAAACTTTTTTTTTACTGTGTCTGAGCTTTTTTTTTTAAATTTTTTTCAATATTTTTATTTATTTTTGAGACAGAGAGAGGCAGAGCATAAGCAAGGGAGGGGCAGAGAGAGAGGGAGACACAGAATCTGAAGCAGGCTCCAGGCTCTGAGCTGTTAGCACAGAGCCTGATGCGGGGCTCGAACTCACAGACCGTGAGATCATGACCTGAGCCAAAGCCGGATGCTTAACCGACTGAGCCACCCAGGCACCCCTACTGTGTCTGAGTTTTGACTTGTTTCCCTGATGCCAAGCTCACCCTTCTTTGTTTTGTGACCATGACCCTGGATGAAAGGGACTTTGAAACTCGCTAGATGTTAGTCTCTTCTTTGCTCTTGGTTATCACCCGGTCCTCAGTATGTGGCCAGAGTCGTTGGGCGTCCATCTCCGATTTATTTCCTCTCCAAGTTGAATAATACGTCTGTATTTCAAATATGGTGGTTTGTCATTTATCTTATATATCGTTTAACCAAGGAAGCTAAGGCAAGAGCTGAAGTATAAATCACGGGCTTTCAGAATTGGACCTTGTAGAGAAATATAAGCATTTCAAACTCAATTAATACTATTTTTTTTTTTTTAAACCAGAACTCCTGGTGCCCATTTTTCAAGAACTCACACAGGCGCCTCACAACTGATCAGGTTCCCTCCCTGCCGGCTTGGGGAGCCGGTTTGTGATCCTCACGTTTGAAAGCTGGCTTGAGAAAGACATCTGTGCTTTGCTTCTGCCAAGTTCTGTGTCTTGTATTCATAAACAAACTCTCTCTCCCCCTGTCCTCCACCCTGTTTCTCAGTGGCCGTTCCAGCAGCAGCACCCCCGGTGTGCCAGCCCAAGGGTGCCACTAGTGGGCACCACGCGGCCCCGCGCCTGTCCGTTTCCTCCCGAGCCACGGTGGTAGCCAGGATGGAAGGCGCCCCCCAGGGGGGCCTGCAGACCGTCATGAAGTGGAAAACGGTCGTTGCCATCTTTGTGGTCGTGGTGGTCTACCTCGTCACGGGCGGTCTGGTCTTCCGGGCGCTGGAACAGCCCTTCGAGAGCAGCCAGAAGAACACCATCGCCTTGGAGAAGGCAGAATTCCTGCGGGATCATATCTGCGTGAGCCCACAGGAGCTGGAGACGCTGATCCAGGTGAGCAGGGGGTGAGAAGGGACAGCGTTGGTTCTGTCCTTGGAGCTCACCAAGTTTCGCCTTTGGTTGAGATGCTCCTGATGGTCAGGGTGGTCTTCTCCGGGGAGGCGACCTGTGAGCTGAGACCTCCAAGGAGCCAGAGAGTAAGGCACGTGATGATCAGGGGGAAGAGGGAACATGCGTGCCACAGCCTTGATGCCCTGACGCGTGATGAGTGGGCTCTGTTTCGCATCACCTGCTTTTGGAGGAGGTGGCCGGAGGCAGCGGCAGGCAAAAAGGCTTTGGTTTTTCTAATTCATTCCACCTATGTGTACTGATTAACTTCCTGATTCTGAAGTCTGTGTAAGCTGCTGGGCTAAGAGGGTGCCCTAGGTGCCACAGAAAGAATTTTAAACAAACAGCGTTGTATTAACCTATCTCAAGTCAGTGAAAGTGGAGTAAAAACCACCAGAGGTGGCATGAGAGGCTGTTGGTGACTTGGGAGGGCCATTGTGGTGGATTTATGGGGATACAATAAAGACAGCAGTAATAGGAATAATCAAGATTACTGTTTTTGAACATTTATTGTATCAGGCACCGTGCTAAGGCCCTTGCATAGCTTGGGTATTAAGAAAATAGCACCCATAAAAAGATGGAGGCAGAGAACTTTGAGCTACCACCTAGAGAAGCGAGGCAGTGAAAGCAGGGGTGGGGGTGGCCTCGGCAGGGGTGAACTTGGCCATGGGAGGGCCATGGGAGACAGAGAGTCCTCTCAGGTGGAGTGATGGGAGGAAGTGAAACAGGAGGCTTCAGAAGTCTGTGAAGGGCAGAGAGTCAAGTCCCAGAGGGAGGAAGTGAAATGGTCGGGGGCCCGGTTGGAGGGTTCCACCATGTGGGAGATGGAGGGTGGATGGCTTCTTTGGAGGCTGAAAATTGATTTCCTATCCTGTATACCCTCCTGAACCAGGAAGAGTAGGTCCTGGTGGATGGCGGTGACATTCATGGAGGCAAGGGAGAGCCACGTCTTTCCAGGGCTTCTAAAGTTTGCAAGGCAGAGGGATGGAAAAGATGGCTCCCACAACTCCTTCTGCTCTGGGATTATCTGCATTAAATTCTAAGGGTTACTGCAATCCAGGATATTGCAGGATTTGCAAGACTGGCCTGGCTCGTTCTTTTCTTTTCTTTTCTTTTCTTTTCTTTTCTTTTCTTTTCTTTTCTTTTCTTTTCTTTTCTTTTCTTTTCTTTCCTTTCCTTTCCTTTCCTTTCCTTTCCTTTCCTTTCCTTTCCTTTCCTTTCCTTTTCTTTCCTTTCCTTTTCTTTTCTCTTTCTTTCTCTTTCTCTCTCTCTCTCTTTCTTTCTTTCTAACTGCACTGATAGGGTAAATGAATTTGGGGGCTACCTATGATCTGGAACCTTCATAGCAATTATATTCCTTTAAGGAAATTTTGATAATCTGACTTGACTCTTCAATACCTAGAAATACACATTCTCTCCCCACCTCCCCCTCTGGGAATAAATATGATTTCATACCTGTGTTCCTGTAATTTTTATGAAAAAAACCCTGTCAAATCTAAGGGTGGTGTTTTATATTACTCTTTCTTGGATAGCTTTGTCTTTGTTTTCTTCTTTTGTGAAAAACCGCCATCAAGTTTGTGGTGATGAGAGTGTGGTACTAATCTGTGCTGGATTTAAGGCCTAGAATGCCATAGAAAAAGGGGGAAACAATTCTGGAGTAATTTTAAGTAAGAATGGGATTATACTTGTTGTGATGAGACCCTTTTTATTTAGCTGCAATACATATAAACGGTGGTCTGAATTGAATCTAGATTCATGCTTGAATTTTCCTTCCATAGACAGTGAGATCTTGGGGAAAAAGGTCATGTCACATTATCTTTGCATCAACGGATGCATCTGAAGTTGGATGCTTAATGGACTGAGCCACCTAGGCACCCCTCATCCATGCATTCTTTAACTTGCTATTGAACGCCTGTTGTATCAAGTAACATGCTAGGTGCTGAGGATAGAAAAGGTGAAAATAAAACACACCGTGAGCAAGTTACTAACCTCTCTGAGATCCAGTTTCATTATCAATAAAATGTGCCTAAAATCCTTCCCCCCTGGGGTGTTGAGAGGATTAAATTCTATGACTCACTGAGAAGGGCTTTGCACGTGGTGAGTGCTCAGAAAACACGATTGCTATTGCTGCTGCCACTGCTGCTTGTAGGATTGCTCCAGGAGCTTAGAGTTTCAGGCAGTGGCACCGTTTCTTTAAAGTTTTTATTTTAATTCCTGTTAGTTAACATACGGTGTTGCATTAGTTTCAGGTGTACAATATAGAGATTCAACACTTCCATACATCCCCTGGTTCAGGCAGTGGCTCTTAATGGGGAGGGGGGGTTGCCCCCCAGATGACCTCTGACAATGTCTGGAGGCATTTTTGGTTGTCAAGTCTTGAGGCGGTGTTAGTAGGGTCTGGTGAGTAGAGACCAGAGAGGCTGCTGACATCCTGCAATGCACAGGACGGCCCTGGCCACAGCAAAGAATTATGCAGGCAGGTGTCGGCAGTGCCGAGGCAGAGAAACCCTGGAGGAAGAGGCATGTAACCCAACAACCGCAATTCACTGGAATGGAGCTATTATTTTTCCAGTTTTATGGCGATGTAATTGACATGCATCACTGTATAAGTTTGGATGTACAGAAGAATGGTTGGGAACATACATTCTGTAACGATTACCACTATGTTTGGTTGGCATCCATCACCTCATATAGCTACAATAAAGAAAAAAAGCAAAAAGAGAAAAAAGAAATCTTCTCCTTGTGCTGAGGACCCTCGAGATTTGCTCTCTTAACACCTTTCCTATATATCACACTGCAGCGTTAGCTATGGTCATCATGCTGTACTTTTTGTCCTTACTACTTATGGATCTTATTTTAATTTTATTTTTTAACGTTTATTTATTTTTGAGAGAGAGAGAGAGGCAGAACATGAGCAGGGGAGGGGGCAGAGAGAGGGGGACACAGAATCCGAAGCAGGCTCCGGGCTCTGAGCTGTCAGCACAGAACCCGACACGGGGCTTGAACCCACAAACTGTGAGATCATGCCCTGAGCTGAGGTCGGATGGTTAAGTGACTGAGCCACCCAGGTGCCCCTACTTTGGGATCTTATAACCGGAAGCTGATACTTTTTAACCACCTTCCTCCAGGCCCCCTCCCCCTCCCCTTGGCCTCTGATCTCTTTTTCTATGAATTTTTCTCTTAGATTCCACATATAAGTGAGGTCATACAGTATTTGTCTTTCTCTGTCTGACCTATTTTACTTAGCATAATGCCGTCTACTCGTGTTCCACTGTATATATTATGTACCACAACTCCTTTATCTGCTCCTTTGTCGATGGACACTTAGGTGGTTTCCGGGTCTTGTCTACTGTAAATAATGCTGCCGTGAGCATGAGGTGCGTGTATTTTTTCAAGTTAGTGTTTTTGTGTTTTCTTGGACGTATTCCCAGAAGTGCAATTGCTGGATCATATGGTAGTTCTATTTTTAAGTTTTTGAGGAACTTCCATACTGTTTTCCAGAGTGGCGGCACTGATTTACATTCCCACCAGCAGCGCGAGAGGGTTCCCCTTTCTCCACGTCCCTGCCAGCATTTGTTCTGTCTTGTCTTTTTATGACGGCCAGAACGGAGCTACTAGAAGTACATAAAAATGGGAGCCCCAGTGACGCAAACAGAGGTCAGGGAAGATTTTGTGGCTCTTTATCTCTTTTGGTCCCTATAACCGTTCTACAAGGATAGTCTTTTGTGCCCACAGAAACAGAGGCATCAGGCAGCGAGGTTATGTGCTCAAGGTCACCCCGTTAGTAAGCAGAAGATCTAGGATTTACTCCTGGGCAGTCTGACCATGCATTCTAGGCTTTTAACCACGCACATGCAAACAGAAACGTGGACTGTGGGAGGAGATCCATTCCCTAGGTCATGGATCAAGGGCACCCCAATGGTGAGTGTGGCCCGTTGAGGAAGCTGCAGGTGGTCAGTGTGGCCTGAGCTGAGAGGTGTAGGGAGGGGTGGTAGATAAGACTGGGGAGGCGAGTGGGGCTGGATTTGGGAGGTGCCCAGAGAGCCTTGCTGAGGAGTTAGGCTTTCTGCCCTGGGAAGTGGGGAGTCACTGAAGAGTTTAAGCAAGGCAGTGACATGATGAAAATTTGCCATTGGAAAAATAACTCTTCTAGCAAGGGGGGCTTTGGGTTGGTGGAAGGAGAAATTGAAGGAAGGAAGACTCATAAGGAGACTATTAGAACATCATAAGTGAGACACAGATACTGAGATAACAGGGAAGGGGCCACGTTTTTTTTTGTTTTTGTTTTTTTTTTTTTGACAGTTATAGCAAACTATTTCCTTTTTTTTTTAATATATGAAATTTATTGTCAGATTGGTTTCCATACAACACCCAGTGCTCATCCCAAAAGATGCCCTCTTCAATACCCATCACCCACGGAAGGGGCCACGTTTAAGAGAGTTGGATGAAGAAAACTTGCAAATGACTCATTCCCCATTCAGCAGAGATTTCTGGAGTGCCTGCTCAGTGCTCCTTGTTCAAGCAGAGGCTGCGTGGGCAGCATAGCGTGGCAATAAGCACCCAGACTCTGCAGTTTCCCTTCCTGTGTTAAATCTCTTTCCCGCTTCCCGGCCAGGTGACTTGGGAAATAGGGGAGTCACCCCGGGGCCTCACCTTCCCGTCTGTAAAATGGAGATAGTGGTATTAGTGTCCACCTGTTTGGGTCGTATGAATGGCAAACAAAAAGTTCAGTTACTTGCAGCTGTTGTGATTGCTACTATTTCTTTGTTCGGGAAGGAAGAAAAAGCCAGAAAGCCCCTGAAGTATGTGCATCCTGGGATCCTCCTAAGGGAAAAGAGAAGAAAGCTCCTAAAAGGCCCTCCGGGATTTCTATCCTAAATTTTGTCATTGACAAATTTTCTCAATGTGCTTCTACTGTTGAAGTGTGAAGTCACCTTCGCAGAAAT